GGCGATGAGCCCCTGCTCTGCCGGGCTGACGTCGTTACATCGCCCGTCGTAGAGCCCTTGCTCCGGCCGATGTCATTATCCAGTCCGGCGACGAGCCCCTGCTCTGCCGGGCTGACGTCGTTACATCGCCCGCCGTTGAGCCCTTGCTCCGGCGAGGCTGATATCCTTACTTCGCCCGCCGTTGAGCTTTCGCTCCGGCCGGGCCGACGTCTCTATCCAGTCTGGCGACGAGCCCCTGCTCTGCCAGGATGACGTCGTTACTTCGCCCGCCGTTGAGCCCTTGCTCCGGCGAGGCTGATATCCTTACTTCGCTCGCCGACGAGCCCCTGCTCTACCGGGCCAACGTTATCACTTCTACCGTCGCCAGACCTACGCTTCGCCAGGTCGGCACCTACATCTCGCCCGCCGACGAGCCCCCGCTCTACCGGGCCAACGTTATCACTTTTACCGTCGCCAGACCTATGCTTCGCCAGGTCGGCACCCACATCTCGCCCGCCGACGAGCTCCTGCTCTACCGGGCCAACGTTATCACTTCTACCGTCGCCAGACCTACGCTTCGCCAGATCGGCACCTACATCTCGCCCGCCGACGAGCCCCTGCTCTACCGGGCCAATGTTATCACTTCTACCGTCGCCAGACCTACGCTTTGCCAGGTCGGCACCTACATCTCGCCCGCCGACGAGCCCCTGCTCTACCGGGCCAACGTTATCACTTCTACCGTTGTCAGACCTACGCTTCGCCAGGTCGGCACCTACATCTCGTCTGCCGACGAGCCTTGCTCTACCGGGCCACCATTACCACTTCTACTACCGTCGAACCTGCTCTTCAGCCAGGTCGGCACCTACATCTTGCCCGCCGACGAGCCCATGCTCTGCCGGGCCAACGTAATTAGTACTCCCACTGCCGTCTTGCCTTCGCTTCGGCCAAATTAATATCTTTATCTCTCCCGCTGATGAGCACTAGCTCAACCAGGCCTATCGACACTTCGCCGGAGCAACGAGTCCCTGAGAACAAGCCTCAACTTCGCAGACGAGCACCATGAACCGAGCTCATAAAAGCCGCACGTAACAGACGAAACGCGAGATATGCCAAATCCCAAGTCAAACCACTCTAATATCAAATCAACGACGTCCTCCTACACGGGGCCTACCGACTTGAACATGTGGACGACACGCGCCCATCAATACCCATAAAACTCGGCGTTTCTGAAGAAGTCCTACCAATAGGTCTAGGCTATTCTCACTCAGTTAGTGACGTTATTATATAGATTATTCGATGAGCTAGGTCAAGAATGTAATTTACCTTTTTCTTTTAGAGGCTAGGTCGTTTAGGCTTAGATCCAGTCGAAGCGTTGTAATTAATGTAAGTACGATGACCCGGCCGGCACTAGCCGGGCTCAACTAGGAAGTCCGGTCAGGCCAATAATACCATCAAGTCCAAACGCGAGACTGGTCAGGTAAGCTGTCACGTAATTATGTGCAGGTCGGGTCAATACGATGGTCTGGCCGGCACGAGTCGGGCTCAGCAAAGTAGCCGGGTAAGGCCAAATTCGCAAATGTAAGAAATGAATAACTAGCTCAAACGCGAAGCTCAGCAAGGCCAAGTCTTCGCCCGATTCAACGAGCAAGTTGGACAGGTAACGTGCCAAAGTAATAAATAAATGCCGAGCCCGATCACGAGGCTTGGCCAAGTAATAAATTCGTGCATGTCGGGATCAGTACGATGACCCGGCCGGCACTAGCCAGGCTCAACTAGGAAGTCCGGTCAGGCCAATAATACCACCGAGTCCGAACGCGAGACCGGTCAGGTAAGCTGCCACGTAATTATGTGCAGGTCGGGTAAGTACGATGGCCCAGCCGGCACAAGCCGGGCTCAGTTCCGTAGCCCGGTCAGACCACAATCGCCAACGTAAAAAAGGTAATAAATAGGTGTCGAGCTCGATCATCAAGCTCGGCCAGGAAAGACCACCACCTGACCCCACGAGCGGATCGGATGGGTAATGCGCCATCGTAATCATTAGTGCAATAAATTGCACAACCCGGGCTCGACAATGGGGCCCGATTAGGCCGAAATGCCATATGACTGAAGGCCTACAAGCCGTAAGGCCGAAGTTCCCAAAACTAAAAACCGAACTCCAAAAGCAGTTCGGCCCAGCTAGACATGCGACAAGGTGCTCTCATTTCTCAAACATTCATCACATGCATTCATCATGCATTCATTACATGCATTCATCATACATTCACGCATTCCTCATATGATCGCATTATGCATACAATCTCGTAAGAAACAAAGAGCTTAAAGCTCCATCGAATAAAGAGCTCAAAGCTCACTCAGACAAAGAGCTCTAAGCTCGCTCATGTCGACAACTCAAAATGCATTCCTGCATAAAAACGGGTACCAAATTACCCGACCAGTCCGTTCAGGCCTCATCCAATAGCAATTTAGAAAAATTACCCATTATCTCAAATTGAATCAACTCGTCAAAGAGTAAAGCGTGATTGACGAAAATACGTCAGGCCAAAGCCTGAAATGAGTAACAAAACGCTCAAGGGCCCCAAAGCGTCCTAAAATTGCATACTAACTCGTGAAAAGTTCAAAGAGTCTCGAGGCGAAAACATAACCAAATTGTAAGAATAACGCGACTTCAGAACAGTTCAACCCAGAACATGTCCTAAACTCGGGGGCCTCATGTTGATACCCAATTTGGCTCCGATTAATTAAATAATAAGATACGTCCCGACAACCGAGGGGCCGAAAATATGTAATAAATAAGTATTCAACAAAGTTCTCGATACCGATCAAATCAGAAGCCGCCTCAGATAGACGTCAATCGAAGCCGTCAGAAGTCATAAGCGGGCCCCACGATGATTATCTCATATTAAATAATGATGTACAGTTTTTTATTTATTAATTCCCCCACTTGTAAAAAAAGGACCATATAAATACAAATGGCCTTAGCAAAAAAGGGGATTCCATTCATTTTTTTTTCATGATACCCAACAACTCAAAAGAGAGGGGGTATATTTATGTACAAATGAGGAGAGAGAAGGGGTGGTTGGATGAGACTCTCCCCATTTTTTACATTCCCCATCAACTAAGAGAGAAAATCCTCTCAAAACAATACACAATTTTCTTCACATTTTTCTTCATTTTTCATACAAGAAAATCGATTACTTTTCAAGGGTTGATCGTCCGATTTTCGACATCAACAGTTTGGCGCTAGAAGGAGGGCTCCGTAATTTGCCCGGAGTCGATTTTCGCCGGAAAACGGCCACATTTCCACCGGAAAACATATTCTCCAAGTTTGTATTTCATCTCAATCTCCTCCACATTCGTTTCTCCGATTTTTTCTTATAAATATATACCATTACACCGTATGAATGTGTTTTTCCTAAAAACTCTCACAAAAAATTACATCACCACAAATTTCACAGTCATTTTGTTCCCTTTAGCCATGGATTTTCAGTGTATGGAGATAAAAAATTTCTTTTTTATAGTGGAAGATCTGAAGTTTTTTCCGATCCATTTGCTGCTGTTGCACGCGACTTTTCTTTTCTTTATCCTTTTCTTTTTTGGTTGAATAAAAATTAAGCCAAAGTCATAATTGCTGGGACAAGCCCACGTTATTACACTGTTCCTAGTGTCTTATCACATTACCCCATACATCATGTGAAAGATATATATATATAATAATAGTAAAAAAAATAAAAAAAAGAAAATAAAAAGAAGTCGGAATTCAGAAAGTGTCGACCAGCATGGCAAGCCATCAAGCCATGGAGCCGACCTTTCGTCATAGCCCGGATCCATCAGATCGCAGCTGCCGGACAGACCTCACCACCATGACTGGCCACCCATCGTCTTCAATCTCCGATCTCATCGGGGTCGATCTCGCTGTTGAAGGATAGACCCCACCAACCCAGACCTCAAGTCGTCGGACCGACCTCGCAACCGTTGACCCCGAGTGCCAACATCGACCTCACAACCGTTGACCTAGCGAGCCGACGCCGACCTCAGCTCGGGGCTAATATTAAACCGTCGGGCCGACTTCGAAAAGCTCCACCTCGGAGACGACCTAGCTACCGCCGACCTTACCTTCAAGAAGCTCCACCTCCACTTAGTCGGGACGACCTCGCGGGCCGGACGCCGACCTCAGACCGGGGTCATCATCGAACCGCCGGGCCGACCCCGACCTCACGGCTGCCGAACCGATTTACGGCCGATGGCCGACCTCACACCCTCGCTGCCGGACTGATTCTCCCTAGCGAGATAACCTCACGTCGCCGGACACTCCATGCGAGAGCCCGACCCGACAAACCACAGGTGCCGGGCCGACGTATTCCTTTCCAACGCCGGACTGACGATGCCCTCGCCTCGGCCGGATGATCTCACGCCTCAGGTGCCGACTTCACCCCGAAGTCAGGGCCGATCTCGCTGAGACCCGACCTAGCCGCTAACGCTAATAACCACAGTTCCCAAAATCGCGAGCCGGGTTCCCCACCACCACCTTTGACCCGACCTAGCAGCCGCCGACATCACCGTCGCGGAGCTCTGCCTTCACGCCACATAACGGGTCAACAACCACAATCGCCGGCCGACTTCGACAATCGTCACCTCAATCTGAATCCACACCACAAATCCACAGCCCGGATCCGTCAGTTAGAGCCGCAGCAGACCGCCTCCAAGCCGCGACCCAACTTTGCCGACACGACCTCACAATCGGCAGGTGCCATCCTAAGATGGGACGCCGAGCTGCCACGCCGTCGACTCCACGGTCGCCAAACCATCGCCGCCGCCGGGAAGCGGTTTCCACCCTTATACCCGGACGCCGAGCAGATCCAAATGTCAAGCCGCCGATGCCGCCCTCAAATCCAGATGCCGAACGAACTCTTGTAGATGGTGGAAGAAAGGGAATTGATGTCGGTGCAGATAAGACGGATGGGTTATTCAACAGGGATATGAGATGCATATCCAATATCGGGCCCACACTTAAAACTAGCCCAAGGTAACTCCAATCCCTCAATCTTTTAATAAAAGCAACTATATACATATATGTATATCTATATAAATCAAAATACATAAACGTATCAGTATATTATTATATATACTAATAGTAATAAGTAATATATATACATATGTACTGCACATGTATATATGTACTATATGTGTGCTATACACTTAATTAATAAGTAATAATTATTATAAGGTTCAACAATCATGTACATAAAATAAGTCACGCATATAAATGTGTGCATACAGATACATTGTGATATCATGAATTATATTCGGACATATAATAAGTAACGCATAGATGCGTATATATATATATTTAATGATAATAATAAATATATAAATACATATATACATGTGCGTGAATAAAAATATATACCGAATCTCATTCGCGAAAGTCGATCCGAGACGAGAAGGATGGGGGGACGTTGGTTTGCTGCAAGCCTTTGGGATAGGCACGACCGTTCCTCTGACACTTCTGAGTCTCGAAAGGTCACGAGGCCTTCGAGCTGTGACGTCATTACTTCGCCCGCCATTGAGCAGTCGCTCCGGTCGGCCGACGTTTCCATCCAGTCTGGCGACGAGCCCCTGCTCTGCCGGAATGACATCGTTATTTCGCCCGCCATTGAGCCCTTGCTCCGGCCAGGCGGACGTTTGCATCTAGTCCGGCGACGAGCCCCTGCTCTGTCGGACTGACGTCGTTACTTCACTCGCCGTTGAGCTCTGAATCCAGTCGGCCGACGTTTCCATCCAGCCCGGCGACGAGCCCTTGCTCTGTCGGGCTAACGTTGTTACTTCGCCCGCCGTTGAGCCCTTGCTTCGGCCAGGCGGATGTTTCCATCCAGTCCGGCGACGAGTCCCTGCTCTGCCGGACTGACGTCGTTACTTCGCCCCCCGTTGAGCCCTTGATCCGGCGAGACCGATGTCCCCATCCAGTCCGGCGACGAGCCCCTGCTCTGCCGAGCTGACGTCGTTACTTCACCCGTCGTTGAGCCCTTGCTCCGGCCGGGCCGATGTCCCCATCTAGTCCGGCGATGAGCCTCTGCTCTGTCGGGCTGACATCGTTACTTCGCCTGTCGTTGAGCCCTCGCTCCGGTTAGGCCGACGTTTCCATCCAGTCCGGCGACGAGCCCTGCTCTGGCTGGTTGACTTCTGTTCCTTACCTGCCGTTGCGCCCCAGCTCCGGCCAGACCGACATCTCCAGTTATCCCGACGAAGAGCCCCTGCTCTACCGGGCCAACGTTATCACTTCTACTGTTGCCAGACCTACGCTTCGCCAGGTCGGCACCTACATCTCGCCTGCAGAAGAACCCCTGCTCTACCGGGCCAACGTTATCACTTCTACTGGCGCCAGAACTACGCTTCGCCAGGTCGACACCTACATCTCGCCCGTCGACGAGCCCCTGCTCTACCGGGCCAACGTTATCTCTTCTACCATCGCCAGACCTATGCTTCGCCAGGTCGGCACCTACATCTCGCCCGTTGACGAGCCCCTGCTCTACCGGGCCAACGTTATCACTTCTACCGTCGCCAGACCTACACTTCGCCAGGTCGGCACCTACATCTCGCCCGCCGATGAGCCCCTGCTCTATCGGGCCAATGTTATCACTTCTATCGTCGCCAGACCTACGCTTTGCCAGGTCGGCACCTACATCTCGCCCGCCGACGAGCCCTTGCTCTACCGGGCCAACGTTATCACTTCTACCGTTGCCAGACCTACGCTTCGCTAGGTCAGCACCTACATCTCGCCCGCCGACGAGCCCTGCTCTACCGGGCCAACAATACCACTTCTACTACCGCCGAACTTGCTCTTCGGCCAGGTCGGCACCTACATCTTGCACGCCGATGAGCCCATGCTCTGGCGGGCCAACGTAATTATTACTCCCACTGCCGTCTTGCCTTCGCTTCGGCCAAATTAATATCTTTATCTCTCCCGCTGACGAGCACTAGCTCCACCAGGCCTATCGACACATCGCCGGAGCAACGAGTCCCTGGAAACAAGCCTCAACTTCACAGACGAGCACCATGAGCCGAGCTCATAAAAGCCGCACGTAACAGACGAAACACGAGATATGCCAAATCCCAAGTTAAACCACTCTCATATCAAATCAACGACGTCCTCCTACACGGGACCTACCGACTTTAACACCTGGACGGCACGCGCCCATCAATACCCATAAAACTCGGCGTTTCTGAAAAATTCCTACCAATAGGTCTAGGCTATTCTCACTCAGTGAGTGACGTTATTGTATAGATTATTCGATGAGCTAGGTCAAGAATGTAATTTACCTTTTGCTTTTAGAGGCTAGGTCGTCTTAGGCGTAGATCGAGTCGAAGCGTCGTAATTAATGTAAGAAACCAAGTGCGGGTCCGGATCAGTACGATGACCCGGGCGGCACTAGCTGGGCTCAACTAGGAAGCCCGGTCAGGCCAATAATACCACCAAGTCTGAACGCAAGACCGGTCGGGTAAGTTGCCACGTAATTATGTGCAGGTCGGGTCAGTACAATGGCATGGCCGGCACGAGCCGGGCTCAGCAAAGTAGCCCGGTAAGGCCAAATTCGCAAATGTAAGAAATGAATAACGAGCTCAAACGCGAAGCTCAGCAAGGCCATGTCGTTGCCCGATTCAACGAGCAAGTTGGACAGGTAACGCGCCAAAGTAATAAATAAATGCCGAGCCCGATCACGAGGCTCGGCCAAGTAATAAATTCGTGCATGTCGGGATCAGTACGATGACCCGGCCGGCACTAGCCAGGCTCAACTAGGAAGCCCGGTCAGGCCAATAATACCACCGAGTCCGAACGCGAGACCGGTCAGGTAAGCTGCCACGTAATTATGTGCAGGTCGGGTCAGTACGATGGCCCGGCCGGCACAAGCCGGGCTCAGTTCCGTAGCCCGGTCAGACCACAATCGCCAACGTAAAAAAGGTAATAAATAAATGCCGAGATCGATCATCAAGCTCGGCCCAGAAAGACCACCACCCGACCCCACGAGCGGATTAGATGGGTAATGCGCCATCGTAATCATTAGTGCAATAAATTGCACAAGCCGGGCTCGACAATGGGGCCCGATTAGGCCGAAATGCCATATGACTGAAGGCCTACAAGCCGTAAGGCCGAAGTTCCCAAAACTAAAAACCGACCTCCAAAAGCAGTTCGGCCCAGCTAGACACGCGATAAGGTGCTCTCATTTCTCAAACATTCATCACATGCATTCATCATGCATTCATTACATGCATTCATCATACATTCACGCATTCCTCATATGATCGCTTTATGCATACAATCTCGTAAGAAACAAAGAGCTCAAAGCTCAATCGAATAAAGAGCTCAAAGCTCACTCAGACAAAGAGCTCAATGCTCACTCAGACAAAGAGCTCTAAGCTCGCTCATGTCGACAACTCAAAATGCATTCCTGCATAAAAACGGGTACCAAATTACCCGACCAGGCCGTTCAGGCCTCATCCAATAGCAATTTAGAAAAATTACCCATTATCTCAAATTGAATCAACTCGTTAAAGAGTAAAGCGTGATTGACAAAAATACGTCAGGCCAAAGCCTGAAATGAGTAACAAAACGCTTAAGGGCCCCAAAGCGTCCTAAAATTGCATACTAACTCGTGAAAAGTTCAAAGAGTCTCGAGGCGAAAACATTACCAAATTGTAAGAATAACGCGACTTCAGAACATGTCATAAACTCGGGGGCCTCATGTTGATACCCAATTTGGCTCCGATTAATTAAATAATAAAATACGTCTCGACAACCGAGGGGCCGAAAATATGTAATAAATAAATATTCAACCAAGTTCTCGATACCGATCAAATCAGAAGCCGCCTCAGATAGACGTCAATCGAAGCCGTCAGAAGTCATAAGCGGGCCCCACGATGGTTATCTCATATTAAATAATGATGTACAATTTTTTATTTATTAATTCCCCCACTTGTAAAAAAAGGACCATATAAATACAAATGGCCTTATCAAAAAAGGGGATTCCATTCATATTTTTTTTCATGATACCCAACAACTCAAAAGAGATTTATGTACAAATGAGGAGAGAGAAGGGGTGGTTGGATGAGACTCTCCCCATTTTTCACCTTCACCATCAACTAAGAGAGAGAAAATCCTCTCAAAACAATAAAGAGAAAAACACAATTTTCTTCACATTTTTCTTCATTTTTCATACAAGAAAATCGATTACTTTTCAAGGGTTGATCATCCGATTTTCGACATCAACAACGTTTAACGTTGAAGATGCTAGCTATTTTACACATCCTCAGTCTGATCGTCTTATTATCACTGCACCGATTTGCGGAATTCCCGTTCACCGCATTATGGTGGACACAAGTGCCTATTCAAGCATTTTGATGCTCAGAGCCTTTGAAAAAATGGGCATTGATCCAGCCGAAATCGAACCATGCAAGGACCGTGTCCAAGGCTTTGAATGATAAGTAAACTATTAATTAAAGACCTTAAAGTTTTTTAATCTCAATTCGGTGCTCATATTATATGAAACTATCAATATAGGACTTAAAAATTAACAGCACCGTTAAATTGACTTATTTATTTCGGTGTCTCAAATTATCTCTCCAAACTAGTAATCAACCTGTGCATTTGCACAGGGACGAATACTTTAAAAAGATAAAAATATACAAAATAAACAAAAACAAAAATAAATCATAATTTAATACAAGAAAAAAATATGAATTAAGAAAATAATTCTCAAAATTGATTTTTATCAAGTAATTACTATGGAAGAGTCGTTACAACCATTTTCTTTATGCTAGGTGTAACTTAGGGCTTGATTGTTTATGAATTATTTCATTCCCATTTATTTCATACTCAAAATCTAACTCAAATTTAACTCAACTCCACTATCTTAAATAATACAAACCAATCATTCTTACTCATCACATCAACTTCAATTCACTATTCATCTACTCACATAATTTTAACTACTAATCATTTTCAATCATTTATCTCCTACTTTTACATCAAATCAATTTTAATCATTTTATTTTAAATATTATTATAATACATTCTTAAAATTCCACTAACAACTAATCATACCTACTTTTTCAAAATTAACTATGGTTAACCAAAATAATTTATTTTGAACAAATTATTTCATAAATAATCATCCCCTTAAAATTTGAGTACAATTTTTGTAACTCCCTTAATTGGTTTATCTCATAATTTATGACATTCAAGCAAGTTATTTTGTAACTTAAAAATGAAATTGAATGCTGAAAATTTTTGGAGGGAGAATAAATTTTAATGCATGATAATAAAATTAAATGCTTTGTTACTACTTTATATATGTTAATCTATATAATAAAATTTATATAGATTACACTGTAAGTCTGATTTTTTATCTATTTTCAAAACTCTTTCCAAATTACCCATACATTTTATCTTGAAACCACTCTCCAAATTACTATGAAACTGAGAAATTTTAGCTACAATGGAAATGATGAAACAAGAGTCAAAGATACCAAATTATCTCCAATGTTTTTATCTTATTCCAGGCCAAATCTTTTCGGCTCAACATCAAGGAATCTTTTGCCATTTTGCCTGCCTCAATAGCACATATTTGTTACTTAAGGTGGGCTTTTTTTTAAAAAAAAAAAAAAACTGTTGCAAACATCATCCTACATTAAAATCGAAAAATGGAGGGGATCTGTACAGAGGATTCAGAGACACTGGGGGTGGAAAGGCTACGAGCAGCTCAGCTGCGGCCGAAAATGGAAGGTCCGTGTGGTGTTTCTCGAGCACATATTTGTCGTTTAATAACCTCTCCGTATCAAGCTCGATGATATATTCAACGAGGAACATAAATCGTACTCTAGCAATCCGGCCGCCACCACGCT